AGGAGGATCACTACAGGGTGGAAAGAAAGAAAGAAAGAAAGAAAGAAAGAAAGAAAGAAAGAAAGAGAGGAAAGAAAGAAAGAGTTAAGAAAGAAAGAGAAAAGAAAGAAAGAGGAAAGAAAGAAAGAAGAAAGAAAGGAAGGAAGGAAGGAAGGAAGGAAGGAAGGAAGGAAGGAAGGAAGGAGGGAGGGAGGGAGGGAGGGAGGGAAGGAAGGAAGGAAGGAAGGAAGGAATGCAGGAAGGAAGGAAGAGAGAGAGAGCTGGACTTCACATTCCTCTTGCATTAGTTGAGGTAATCACATTTCTTCCATTTCATTAAGATTGTGTGCTATAGTAATTTTATATGTTCATCCTTACAGGGCTAGGATTTATTATCTGAGTCTTTGCTCTTTGAATCAGTTTAGTTAAGGAGTTATTAATATTATTCATCCTTCCTCAGAGGTCACCTCAGGCTTATGTTGTCTTGTATTTTTCTATTTCACTTGTCAGTGCTACAATCTTTATTTTCTTCCTTCTGCTAGCTTTTATGTTGCTCTTCTTTTTCTTGTTTCTAAGGTGCATCGTTACTGAGACATTTCCTTTTGTGAAATAGGCATTAAAACTATAAATTTCCCTCAGAGTCCTGGTTTCACTCTATAATAATGTTTCTAAAATTAATTTTATTGAGTAAGAAATAGCAAAAAGACAGTTTCAAAACAGGTTAGTAGGACAGTTACAATAATTTATAGCATTGTTTTTGTCTCAGTTACTCCTCTCTTGTTGTTGGGACAAATACATGACACCCAAAATGAAGGAAGGAAAGGTTCATTTAGCTCACAATTACTGGAGGTGTCAGTCCATACTCAGCTGGCTCCAAGGCAGAGTGACACAGGGCGGAGGCCATCCTTTCGACATGGTGGCAAAGGGCAAGAGAGCAAATGGGAGGAGTAGTGGCAAAAATCACTATAGACAGCAAGTCCCCCTTAAATTGCATTCAGGCTATATGCCCCAGGCTGGGTGTAGTACTCACACCCAAAATCCCAGCAGTAAGACCCATAATCCCAGTGGATCTTGAGTTAATCTCAACTTTAGATGTCCCCACCCCATGACTGCATAAGGCTTTAGAGGGACAACTAGACACAAACCATAAGAGTTTTGATATACTGTTTTCATTTTCATTCATCTTTAAGTCTTTTCTAATATTCTTTGTAAATTATTTTACCTAGAGGTCAAGTGTTTGTACATAATTTCCACAAACTTTTAAATTTTCTACCATTTTTTTTTTTTTTTTTTTTTTCGGAACCGGGGATTGAACTCAGACCCTTGCGCTTGCCAGGGAAGAGCTTATTCCACTGAGCCATCTCCCCAGCCCCAACCATTTTTATTCTATGGTAGCTATAAAGGACATTGTATTACTCTGTTTCAATGTTAACCTTTTCTTTGCAGCCTACTTCCCAGTGTTCCATGAGTACTTTAGAGTATGATCTTGCTGTTTTTGATGAAGCATTCTGCATATTTCTGTGAGGTCTAGTTTATTTATAGAGGTTTTCAAGCGCTCCATTTCCTTATTGATGTCTTGTCTGGCTGTCCTATTATTGGGGACTGAGAGCTTCAGCAGTTAGAACAAATGGTCTTTTGCTTCCTTAAATTCTATCAATTGTTGATGATTTTAGGGCTTCGCTCTTAGGTGCATAAAGGCTTAGAATGATGAAGCTTTCTTGGTAAATGGAATCTTTTATCACAATATAATATTTTGGTTTTTGTAACCTCTTTTGAGTCTTCTCTGGCAATATAGCCACCCTCCGAACAGCTTTACTTACATAGGACTTTTTTTTTCTATCCTTCTCTTGTATCATAAAGATGTATTGTTGTAATTCATTCTATCAATTTCTGCCTTTTAATTGGGGATTTTAATTAATTTATATTTAACTTGCAAGCTTTGCCCACCGGCAGTATCATAGCCAATGAGGTTTATCCGAGGCATGATTACTGCTAACTGAAAACTCATATTTAACTTACAGCTAGACCTTTGCCATTTAATTTATTTCTGTCTTTTCTATTCAATCCCTGCACCATTTTCTCTTTTCCCCTCTTTATTTCTGGTAGCAGGTGCTTTTTTAAAAAAGTGTACCATTTTGGTCTTTTTCCTCTACATTGTAGTTTCCATTTTTCTTTTTTCTTTTTAGTACTGGGGATTGAACTCAGCCCGTTGCGCTTGCCAGGCAGGCACTTATGCTGCTGGGCCATCTCCCCAGTCCTCCTCTATGTTTTAAAATTTATTTTTAGAGTTGACATCACAGGTTCTAACTACCAGTCTTCAGCATGAAGACATGTCAGAATAATACCATTTTAAGTTCATAATATACACACTCCACTATTATATATCCACTATATTATTGGTTACATTTTTATATATTATATGTCCATTAAAATATTTACAATTATTTTTATGAATTTACCTTTTAAATTAGATAGGGAAGAGGAATCATAAAACAAAAGTACAAGGGCCAGCCAGACAGCTCAGTGGATTAAAGTGCCTGCTTAGGCAGATGCAGGGACCGGGGTTCCACCACTGCCTTGCCCTGCTGGCCCCACCCCTGCGGTGGCTTGTGCCTGTACTCTCAGTGCTTGGGAGGCTGAAAAACAGGATCACTCCGAGTCCAATATGTGCAGTGAGACCCTGTACTAAATACATAAAAAGTACAGTAATATTCATTTCTCTACATACATCATATTTACAGGTGTCACTGTCAATTGTCCTTTCTCAGCAGCATAAAGTGCTTAACATTCCTTGAAGGAATTCCTACTAGTAAACTCCTTTAGCTTTCATTTGTCTGGAAATGACTTTGTTTTTTTCTTCAGTGGTCATTTGGGTGCTATGAGTATTTCCCAGAGTTCTGACAATGTTGGTTTGGGCAGTTGCTGGATTCGTTTTTGTGTTATATTTCTACAGAGGTTCAGGAGTTTGGAGACAACTACTCACTGTGTTGCTGCTGTTACTTCCTCACCTGCTTGCTGTAGTGCAAACCTTAGCTATTTTGCATTTAGTCAAATAGTCATGGAATTGTTAATAAATTTGAGATGATTATGAATTTTACAAAACACAACGCACACAAAACCTTATTTTTAGAAAGGTTTTTGTTAGCCACATCAACTTGTCTCATGAGCTGCAGCCCTTACAATGTCCTTTTTTAGATTTTTAAAATAATGGGCAAAAGGTTTTTTGTTTTGTTTTGTGTGTTTTTGAGACAGGATCTCACTCTACAGTTCAGGCTGGCCTTGACTAAATGAGGACCCTCCTGCCTCAGCCTCCCAAGGGCTTGGATTACAGGTATGCATCACTACGCCCAGCAAAAAAGCTTAATTTTACACCTATATTTTTGTTTTCTTTTCTATCTTAAAAACACACCTTATCATTTATCAACAGGTCTCTAACATTAGTAAGAAAAAATATTCATGTTATACAACATTTTATTGAACTTTTTACATTACACAAATTACTGACCCAAACATTTAAAATTTCAATGAGGCAAAACTTAAAAAATAAGACATCAGATAAGACATCTCCTCTAGCTCAGGTAACATCAAATAAGAGTCACAGTCAAATCATAACTTTTTATTACTCAGCCATATAATTTGGTGCCAGAGCAATGATACTCAATGACTTGAAAAGTAAGACATTGCACATTCAGAGATGAAAGGTGGAGGAGAGACGGGAGGAAACACTATTACACAAATCCTAGTGCAGTATGAGGTCACTGATTTTTTTGCTTATATATCTTTTCAAAACAATTCCAAACCTGAATCTTTACAAGAGCTGGCAGAATAATCTTTTCTGCTCTACAAAACCTATAAGCAAACTGAGAATAGGTTCACAATCTCAGTTCATGAAGGATAAAAGTAGATATAGCAATATGTGGCTAGAAATACTGAACATTTGTGCCCAACAAATAGAGTGGATGCTCTGTGCAGTTAGAACCAAGTCAGTGCTGCAAAGTTGTCAAGAGGCAAGCTCCGGAGGTAAGCAGGATCTCTTATCCTTCCAGTTTTGTGTCCACCTTAGGCCACACCTACGTTATCACATACTCTGATCTATAACCCTTTCTAAACTAGCTCACTTAAAATGTATTGGGTATCTGGAAGGTTAAATAACCATATTAAACGAGGTATCTGTTTGTTTGCTTTTGCCGCCTCAGCCGGCCCTGAGGGCGGGGCTGGCATAGCTTGTGGTGCCAGAGATTGAAGTGCGGTGCCTGCGGCTGCCTAAGCTTGCCTAGGCAGGCACTTCAGACCGCCCCCAACCTACGTTTCTTTAAGGGACCGTAAAATAGAGAAGGGTACCCTAGGAAAAAACATACATACAATTTAATAACTTGATTCATAAATTTAAGGTTAATCTTTATTAGTTTTAATTTAATCACTTTGATGAAATTTTACTCCAAATAAGAAATGCTATAATTAAGACAAGCATATCGTAAGCACCATAGCCAAAATTTATAATAAAAGGAGTAGTGTGGATCTATGGAACCACTTAATAGAATCATATCAACGGTATTAATCATACTAACTTTAGGACTACACTAATCCAACACCTTAAGAAATGAGTATTAGATTTTGGCACTGAAATTAAAAACAAATAGCAATTTTAAAGACAGGAAGAGTATCTGATATTTATTCTTTTTTAAGTTTACTGAAAAATATTATTTATTCTTTTTTAAGTTTACTGAAAAATATTTAAGTGCTAAAGTTTAAGTACTTTAGTTTCAGAGATTATATTTCACTTTGTTTGGAAAAGCAGTAAAAATATTAATATTACTATGCTAGGGCTGGGGAGATGGCTCAGCAGAGTAAGCGCCTCCCTGGCAAGTGTAAGGGTCTGAGTTCAATCCCTGATTCCGAAAAAAAAAAAAAA